GATACTTGACCTCACCGATACTTGACCTCACCGATACTTGACCTCACCGATACTTGACCTCACCGTTACTTGACCTCACCGATACTTGACCTCACCGTTACTTGACATCACCATCATCGTTGGCTTCATTATCATCGTATATCGTATAATCGCACAGCATGCATGTCACCGCTCGTGATACTCCGTCGTTATAGTGTGTTTATTATATAGTACAAAAGTCTATTGATATTAATACTGCCAAGGAATAATACTTTATTGCTTCAGTAAGAGCGTTAATACTGCCAAGGAATAATACTTTATTGCTTCAGTAAGAGCGTTAATACTGCCAAGGAATAATACTTTATTGCATCAGTAAGAGCGTTAATACTGCTAAGTATTAATACTTTATTGCTTCAGTAAGAGCGGTAATACTGCTAAGTATTAATACTTTATTGCTTCAGTAAGAGCGTTAATACTGCTAAGTATTAATACTTTATTGCTTCAGTAAGAGCGGTTCGCAATAAGCAGTGTAGAGGGCAGCGGCACTCTCCACCCGCCCTCTGTCCAGGGCAGACGTGCGTCGCAGCGCTTCTTCCAAGAAACTTATTTTGGTGTGCGATAACCGCTAGAAATATCGTTGAAATTGTTCAAATTTACAGATATTTTCGTGTTCGATCACCGGTAGAAATATCGTTGAAATTGTTCAAATTTACAGATATTTTCGTGTAGATCACCGGTAGAAATATCGTTGAAATTGTTCAAATTTACAGATATCTTCGTGTTCGATCACCGGTGGAAATATCGTTGAAATTTTTCAAATTTACAGATATTTTCGTGTTCGATCACCGGTAGAAATATCGTTGAAATTGTTCAAATTTACAGATATTTTCGTGTTCGATCACCGGTAGAAATATCGTTTAAATTGTTCAAATTCACAGACATCGTTAAAAAGTTTAAATTCAGTTCATTGATCAATTTGATTGTATTTGTTCGGGCAGTTTGGTGGCGCTTTTCTATTAGTGTTTGCCGTACGAATCGTTATTAGGAATCAATGATAGTTTTATTCTAAGTTGATTTCACCGACAATAAAATAAGGCTTCACTTACCTTTAATTGATTAGTAAGTGTAAGAAACAAGCCTATGAGTTTCCCTCATACTGATGGGTTTGGTTAGGAAATGAATGGTAATACGTACCATACATTTTCTCTTATATTCTATTGAATAATTCCAAATGAACGTGATAGAAATAGCACACTCAATTTCAACAACACGAAATAAATATTAATTAATCAAATTTACAGATATTTTCGTGTGCGATCACCGGTAGAAATATCGTTGAAATTGTTCAAATTTACAGACATCGTTGAGAAGTTTATATTCAGTTCATTTCGGGACATCGTTGAAAAGTTAGAATTTAGTTCATTGATGAATTTAATTGTTTTGTTCGTGTAGTTTGGTGGCGCTTTTGTATTAATGTTTGTCGTAAAATTTGTCATTAGGAATCAATGATAGGTTTATTCTAAGTTGATTTCACTGTCAATAAAATAAAGCTTCACTTACCTCTAATTGATTAGTAAGTGAAAGAAACTAGCCTATGAGTTCAACTCATACTGATGGGTTTGGTTAGGGAAATGAATGTTAATACGTGCCATACATTTTTTGTTATACTCTACAGAATAATTCAAATGAACGTGATATAAATAGACAAAAAAAACAGCACGGAATAAATATTATTTATTACTGATGTATAGTTAATTTCTGTTGACTGTCATACAGACAATTATTATAATTAATAATTAAATGACAATAACTTACTAATTATTTCGGTCTATCGCCTGAAAAATAATTTACTGTAAAAATAATTGAAGGAATTAACGTTAAAGAAAGCAGAGAGAAAAAATGCATTTTTTGTTGTTGTTTGTGACGTTGGGCGGGGTCTTGGGAGGTCTAACAGACCCTAGAACTCAATACTCTGCATTCAGAGACATGAGGCTGCAGACCAGCTACGTCGTGGACTACAAGCAGACCCCTACTTTGTGTGAGTACACGTAGACCCCTGCTTTGTGTGAGTACACGTAGAACCCTGCTTTGTGTGAGTACACGTAGACCCCTGCTTTGTGTGAGTACACGTAGACCCCTGCTTTGTGTGAGTACACGTAGACTTGGGGTTGTACATTATGTACTTCTTAGTACTCACCGTAAACAAAATCTTGAGCACAACACTGCGCAGCACAATGCACCACGCGACAATATGTTGCAGGATTTTATCTAACACAATTTTACGCTACACATATTTTGTATCTCATGTGTATCTTTCCATTGAGTAATTAGTCTTACAAAATTGTGTTACATTGAGTCTGTAAAATTTCTGTATGAATATATACAAAGAACTAAAGTAGCTTTTCGTGTATTTAAGTGTCCGACATTTAAGTGTTCAAGTCGCTATCATGTAACAACCGCAATGCATTGATTTGACACGAAATGATAATGATGATAAAGTATATTCACCGCATTGGATTCTCTATATGATGATTTCATTGATTTTATAAATCAACCAAAATCCAGAATTTTACTAAAAAATAAATAACGCTCGAAATATCTATAGGTTTAGCAGTAACGTGAAATAATGTTCTTCACATTGAATAGAAAATTAATGTTGAGTTATATGCGGACAACCAACCCCTGTCCCTGTGCGTTATTCTCAACATTATCATTCCCCTAAAGAATAACAGTCTTGATCGTCATCCATCACATGAGTTTGCACGCTTGTCCATATTCAGCCGCAATTTTATTCACTGCAGGCGCAGTTTAGCATTTTTCTGCGTCTGAAAAATAGGTTTACCGACGAAATGATCTCGATGAATACAGTTCAATATACCTTCGATGGGCAATAACTGAGAATTATTAGAAGTGTCTGGGGCTTGCAAGGTTTCTTGTTTTGCCGAGTATATCGTTTGCCCTGAGTAAATCTGTTCTACGAATACGATTCTGTGAGTGAGTGTAGTTCGTTGATTTATTCTTTGTTTATGAAGCGTGACCTGCATGATGAAGCTCTGTTGGAAAATTGGCTATTCAGCCTTAGAAGATTACTTGATCGATCTAGCAAATAGGGCAAAGATAATGAGGCTACTGGTATTTGAAGTTGACCTCAGTGCTCATACCGATTTGTGTTGATGTACTGTATCGTCGGAGTGTTTCAATGAATTTTTAGAAGAAAATCAGTGATTATTTTTCCCGAGACACATTTCAACGATAAGATATGAGTGTAGGTCATAATAATGTGCGTTTAAAAATTAATTTTTTTAAAGACAACACTTCTAAAGAGGCTAGTGTCTCCGATGTTGCACATGTACAATGATATTCTTATTTTGTTTTTGAATATTTGAAAAATATTCTAATTTTTCTTTATTATATAAAAAAACAATTTTTAAATTATTTATTCTGTCAATTTATTCCTGTATTGTCTCCGACTTTATGCAAGTGTGATTGAATTTCAGATCGAACGAATAGGTAAGTACGTTAAATATCGAATATAAGTTTTGTGGCGCGCAAACAAACAAACAGCAGGAAGTAAAGTTAAAAGAAAAGTGTTGTAAAAAGGAAGTTTATTTACCATTAGACTGGATACGCTATGTTGGGTAAATTATATCCTTGGTATTCTAGAATCTATATAGATTTCATGTTTCGGTCACACTCTAGCACTGAATTTTACTTAAATATTGTGACGTATTAAATATTGTTCGAATAACCCAAGGAAATTTAATTTTAATTTCCCGAATCATTAAATATTCAATAAACTTCTTCTAACGACAGGTCAATGCGTCACATCTTGCCGCACCTCAGCCACATGCTACGGTGTGGCATACGGCCCCATGTACGCCACATCGGCCACCCTCGCCACCGGCACATCCGGCGTCTGCCACATAGCCACGCAGCCACAGGTGCCGTCCGGCCTCGTCAACTACACCGGCTACACCGCCCTCATCCGCGGCAGGGTCGACTCAGGTGTAAAAGTATTCATTTCTACTTTTAAAGCCATCATTATTTTTTTAATTCAGGCCTTCAACCCGCAACATGCAGAGCATGAATAAAGTCTTAAGGCTTGTATTGAGAACCGCCCGAACTCCAGAGCGAGCTTTCCCGAATCTGCTGCCGTGACTTGTGAGGGCTGACTATCTTACGTCTGGCCGGCGTGGTGCTACAGGAATGTCGTGCTGCCGTGACTTGTGAGGGCTGACTATCTTACGTCTGGCCGGCGTGGTGCCACAGGAATGTCGTGCTGCCGTGACTTGTGAGGGCTGACTATCTTACGTCTGTGAGATCATGGCAATCATTGGCATTCACCCCAGCAACTTGATTACTTACGGAGTTGAGACTAGGATTTCAATCCTTTTTTGTACGCGTTTTTCTTGCAGCGACATGGTGACTGCTTGACTGGTGAAAACCTAAGCCAAACCATGCAGTTGAACTTGAGTGAACTGGCATTTCCACACATGGATCCAGCTTTCTCGATGAGATAGAAATTAAAACCTGAAGTATATGGACACGAGCAGCTAAAATAACATGATCATGTAAGCATACCTCGAGTTAAAAATTTCCATTCCTGTGGTGCCACAGGAATGTCGTGCGAGCGCAGGCTTGTGTCTCGCTGCACCACACAATATCCCTGCACTTGACTAGAGCACAAGCTATCAATGAACTTTGACTACTACCAGTAAACTTTCTGCTATTTACAGCTCGTCCATTATGAGGTGCTGTCAATTTAAAAAATTTTATTACTTAATTTTATTTTTCCGGTTAAAGGACGTAATTATGATAATTTATAGCAAAAAAGTAGTGTAGGCTTTGATACACGTTTTCTCAAATAAACCACATTATTAATTATAATGTGGTTTATCAAATCAAATAAACCACATAATATACCACATTATTTAAATTTGTACAAATAAAATGACTTAAATAATTATACTGATGCAACATAACATTGGAAGAGACGCTACGGAGCAGCGTACAGGTAAAGCTAAGCCTTAAGGGGACCGGCTACCCTAAAATTTTCAATTTTGGCGTTTTCCGGTTTTGTGCTCATCTGAAAGCTGGAATTCTGCTCTTTCCAATGGTACCACTGCCATCGCTGTACGCCAATATTTACGTTCATGACGTCTCTTTAAAGGGAAGCGGGTGGGAGAGTTCTTCAACTAATTAGATATAAAGTAATTAACTGCTGAAATCTTTGAATATAGTTTCTACTTGAGTTGTGCTGCAGTTACATGCTTAGTCTCATCTTAAAGCTGACATTCTGAGCTTTTCAGCGATACTACTGCGATCCATGTACGGCAATATTGACGCACACAGCCGGGCTTTAACGGGTTGGAGTTCCTTCAGTAAATAGACCTAAGAAAATTAGAGCGGCAAGACTACATATATTGGCGTATCTGGCATCTGAGCTCAGTCACCCTCCAAACTTTGTACGGAGAAGTGCGCTACAAGTTGCTGCTAGCATCCTTGAGTGGATTAAGCTACAGAAGCCAGTAGTTTGGTATCCATGCTACATTGAGTGCCTATTTCGAGGCGCGCGGGACTTTGTCGCGCCGTCCTGAAAAGTTCAACTTATTGTCACGGAAAACCTATTTCCTCCTACAGTTTTCAAGCTACAGCAATGAGACACATACCATTCGACTCGCAAAGACCATACCTATCGATTTGAACATCACTTTTTTTAATTTCTGTCTGGTTCGTTTTTTATATGGGGAGGAGGGGGGGGGTTGGGGAAAAATGAATGGGGGAGAAGAAGGGGGGGGGGAGGGAGGAAAATGAGAAAAATGGGAAAAACGCGCATAAAAAAAACTATGGGGAAAATGAAAAAACCCATGTTTGAATCGACAGGTATGGTCTTTACAAATAGAATGATACGTGTCTCGATGTTGTAGAATGATATTTGTAGGAGGAGATAGATTTTCTAAAGTACCCGTTTTTAGCCGTTTTCTATGGATTTCACGTTTTCAATCAATTTTTTCGCAAAATTCATAGAAGCAAAATGTTATTTTTTTACATTTTACGTATGTATGTGAAGTTTCATGATGATCGGATAATAACTGTAGAAGTTTTTCTGGAGGGTAGCCGGTCCCCTTAAACCTCGACCTTATATCTGACATCCTCCTCTCTCCCATCGTCTAAGATATGCCGATGTCGCTCACTGTAATATGAGCTTAGACTTCAAGCCAAATAGACTGTTTTCAAACAGTTATATTCTCATCTTCATAATATAAATGCATCACATTCGACACCTAAATAATTTTGATGATATTTATTTTATAAAGTACAAATTTCTGACAGAAAGACATACTGTCACTAGACTATTAATTAAATTTTCGTGATATAAGCACTTCAAGAGAAGGTTACAGAAAGGCGACGAAATTTTAACCTTAAACAGGCAATTAAGATCTATCAAACTACAGAGACAGCAATTGAGGCTGTTCACTCAATGTTTGCAGACTCTCAGCTCAGCTCGAAAAGAGGGTGCAGGGTGGGGGGAGGAGTACGGCAGCAGGGGTATAGAGACAGAAGGGGAAGTTGTGAAACCGCATCCGGGGTTTTTGGAGGGTGTGGGGCTGAAATATTGTGAGGCTCTTTGTTCCCATATCGTTAGGGGTATCATGCTTTCAAAAGGTGTTTCGATCCATTTGTCACTGATACGTTGCTCGTATTTATGATATGTGTATTGAGTATTGAAATGAACGCTGAATGATCCCAAAAATTCTGAAGCTTGCTGTCTCCCGATGCCTATAGCTAGGGCTCCTGAAACTGTCGAATAATTTGATGAATGAACCCCACCCTCAGGACTTTCTTTTTCAGTTCTGACACACATTCTTAATTTACGCATTCTACATTAAATTCAAATGTTGCGTAAATCTCTCGTCGGACCTCTCTTGCAAAAATAAAATTGTAGAATGAATGCATGTTTGTATAATTCAACGCCATTTTACACACATCGGTAAAAAGATTTTCGACATCGAAGAGCCTCCTACCACTTAATGGTTGTAACGCATTTTGGGACACTCGTATAGAATATCACTGATATAATTAGGCCCGCCACTGCTACTGGGGGAGGGAACAAGAGAACGCCTGACGACAACAGCAGTAGCTCCTGTGTCGCGCAGAACCTTGACGCTCTTGCCATTACAAGTTCCATTAGAAATAGGGAGGTAACTATTATAGTCAGGATTGGACAAAGATGCATTCACATTAAAAGTATCATCCTTCCTGCTTAATCTCACGTCTCCAGATTTCTGATCAGGTTCAGACTTGCGTTTCTCTGGGCAAAATCTAGAAAAGTGACCGATTGACCCACAATTAAAGCACTTCTTTTCATTAGTGTCATTTGACGGCGCACCATGCGTCGCACTCTGGATCGAAGGCACGTCATTCGGCGATCCACCTGATTTAGATCTACAAAATTTAGCGATATGTCCTGGCTTATTGCATCGCAAACACACCGATGACATTCTCGCATTAACATCAGAACTGGCAGGTTTAGGTGGACGATGAATAGCTTGAAAGTTGTCTGCCATCTCTATCACTGAATCCAAATCGCGTCTGAAGATATCACGCTCCTTCGAATACTCGGCTAAAGGGCGTTCAGCAGCACGTAAAATCTGGTCTTTCAACAACAGTTCTTCCATCTTCTTTACATCGTTATTCACCTCTGCAATCTGGCACATCTTACTGAAATTTTCTCTCAAATATAATACAAATTGTCTGAATGAACCACTCTTCTGCTTGGCATTCCTGAATCTGGACTGGTAGTCGTAAATTGTATAACCAAATGTCTTTACGATCTGGTGCTTAATTTCAGCATACGTAGACTCCAATGGTAACGTATTGAGGAAAAAACTAACCTTGGTGTTAGCGAAACCATTTAACAAGGCCGTAACGGCGATGGTATCACTCCACTGATTGGCTTCTTTAACCTTCTCAAAAGTGTTCAAATAAATTGAGACATCTTCTCCATCCTTGTAGCCGGCCAACTTTATAACAGATCGGCTTCCAGAAGAATTAGTTGGATTGGAGTTAGCTTGTAATCTCGCAAGTTCAAGCTGAGCTTCACGTGCCTGCCGCTCGTCCTGCAGTTTGAGCTTCTCCAGCTCGAGCGCTCGTAGGTCACGTTCGTGAGCTCGCTTCTCTCTCTCAATCTCCTGCTCAGCTCTCTCTCTCGCTCCTTCCCGCGTTAATTCTAATTTACGCAACTCGCGCTCTTCCTCTTCGGATCTACGATATTCTACTTTACGTTCTTTAACATAATCGCGCAATTCTTGCCAATTCAAATCCTAAGTTTTTCCCGTCCGTAATGAAAGTTGAGTCTAGTGACATCCTGAAATTTACCGCAATAGATAGCAATCAAAATTGAATAATAAAGTGAACAAATTAACAAATTCCGCCCGTGACAAATTAATTACAACTGACCATCCCCATACTGGCCACCAAATGTGACGAACTAATCTTGAATAATAGCTAATCAATCGCGTCACCTCAAAGTTCGGATGGTCTAATTGTCACGTCCACCAATGACCGGAAATTAAATTCAACTTCCCTATTGGTTTTATCAGCAAGAGCTTGGACTGAGCGGATAGTTACTCGTACAAACGTTTAAGTTTATTAAAGATAAACGGCAAATAAATATAAACAAATAACACTAATGATTTACAGAGGTGCGGCATATGAAACGAAGTAACAAATTAAATGTGGAGGAAGTTAAAGCGCGATGAGCAAAATGCGAGGAGAGAGCTGGAGCATTGAGATCTGAGAAAACGCACGATCCTACAACAGAAAACAAAGTAAATATCTAAGCATGACAAGTCGTATACACACAAAAATCACGATATTCCATCAAGTATTCCAATTTAAATTTCACCACAAAAGCAGCAACTTACCCTGGCGTCTGAGTCAAAATCCTATAGGAGAGGAACCAGGACGCAAGTCGGGATCGGCATAGTATCTGACGACTATAATCAATTCAACACCGACGTCAGAGTCGGTCCTACTTAAACTTCGTAGTCTGACATACAGTAGTGGGAAATTTGCAGCAACACTTCATTACACCTTTACTGATTCGTGGTGATGAAAGGTACAGATTTTTCGATTTCTTGTGGGAGAAACGCATGTTGCCACCAGTGTTCTCGCACACGAACAATGGAGGGTTGTAATTTAAACGTGCTTGCCTCTTAACGCCAGGCAGCCAAAAAGGTGAAGGGGTAAGGAGGATGAAGAGGCTGTTCCTCTACCCCCAAGGAAGAGGGTAAACTAGGACTATGTCACTTCACGCGAGCTGATTTATGAGCGTCTGGGAAGGTATCGCTAGAACGGTGCGACACTTTAAACATGCTCAGGGCCAGCTTCAAAAGTAAATGGGAAATCTACGATTCAGGAGTGATGAAAAAGTATCTTGTTAGAAAATTTCTACAAAATGGAGGGTGATTTAAAAATGACTTTAATACCGATCAATAGAGAAAAAATAGTACTACTTCCTTATGTCTAAAAAAATTAGGTAAGTCGCATGTATAAACAGTATAATGAACATCGATGTACAACATTTTCATTATCATAACTGATGTTATACAAAATTTACATCTATCTTTTAACTGTAGGGAAATGTTAAATAAATAGCTGAATAAGCATGAAGAAATATAGACTGATATTTAATTTACGGGCGGAGTTATAATGACTATACGTAGTAATAGAATCTCATAGGGATCCAGCTGAGCCCGCCTGAGGGCTCGCGGTTCTCAATCAGGGGCCATACTTTCAAAACTCGCTAAGTGAACGTAAGTACTTATGCTCTATTTTCTGTCTATGTTTGGTGGATTTTGCTTGAAAGGCCGTCAATGATTGGCTGATGAACTTACGATTTCTTAACTATTTTGAAAGTATGGGCCCAGAGCCTTAAGTCAGCCCGCAACAGCGACCTCATTTTTTCTACATTTTCAACAAACTGAGGCTAATATTAAGTCATGTGGTCTTTTAAAAAACACAGTTTAATTTTTATCCGTTTACCCGCGGAAAAATATATGAACTGGATTCATTAAAATAGTTCGTTCAACCGAAAATAGTTCGTTCAGCCGAGTCGACTCAACTGTCAAAAGCTATATTTTAACCTTTAGAAACAATGAATTCTATCAATAATAATATGTTTCCGAACCGAAAACAACTATTGACATCCAACTAACCCGACCGAAATAGAAATTAATTAATTTCAGTTGCTACAGCTCCCTCATCCGTGGCTTAGTGCGCTATATGCAACACAAAGCTTTATTTAAATATCTTTGAGCCTTTGTTTTATTTTCATGTTAATTACTTATAATATAATTGCTTCCATTTTTACTGGTATAATTGGGAAACAAGAGACTTGAGGAACACTTTTTCATACCAATGATATTATCTCAGTTATTTTCAATAATAATTATCAGGAGCAATAATCTCCTAAATCGTCGTAACATCGCACAAACCAGCATTAGCTGGACCGCTATTTGTTAACAAATGCAGTATAGCCTTTAAATGAGCTTAAATCAGAACTGACTGGCGAAAACAACATAACTACTTTTTGCAAGGACATAACTACTACACATAACTCATTTTTTGCAAGGACATAACTACTAAACATAACTACTTTTTGCAAGGACATAAATACTAAACATAACTACTTTTAGCAAGGACATAACTACTAAACATAACTGCTTTGCAAGGAAGTTAGAAATTTTACATCAGTCAATACATCACTGAGGGAACATGTTTTTTTACCGCATTTTTTCTATATTATTTAGTTTACTCTAACTGCGTATGTGAATAAAGTGGTAATTGTAAATTTAAACACATCCGGATTCTAAACCAAAGACGAATTTAGCTGTAAATTCTTGTTTTAATTAATTTTAGACGTTTGATTCGAGGCCATTTTTCTGAATGCAATATTTTTTCTTGAGTTTCAGCTGAAGGTAATTTATATTTTGGGTTGAAGGTTGCGACGAGATCCTTGGTTACGAGAAGTTTGGTGCAGCGGGCTGCATTTGGTTGTCAGACGTCACCCTTGACCGGGACTCCGGGCAAGCCGCGTGCCAAGCAAGGGGCGGCAACTTGGCAGTTCTTGACACGACTGACAAGTACGACGCTGTTGCCAATCGGCTGCTGGCTATACGTAAGATACATTTCTTTTTATAATATATTTCATATATTTCGTTACACTTCAATTCTCACATTAATTAAAGAAGTTATAATGTAAGCTATTTGTGAAATAGACCATTTAAATGAATGATTTGGTCACAAATTTAGCGTATCTAATAATAATTTTAAAGACGAGCCAACAATGTACCACCCTATGACAGTGTAGCTCAGTGTATCTGCTGTTACAGTGTAGCTCCGTGTATTTGCTGGTACAGGGTAGCTCAGTGTATCTGCTGGTACAGTGTAGCTCAGTGTATCTGCTGGTACAGTGTAGCTCAGTGTATCTGCTGGTACAGTGTAGCTCCTGTCTCTTATACACATCTAGATGTGTATAAGAGACAGGTGTAGCTCAGTGTATCTGCTGCTACAGTGTAGCTCAGTGTATCTGCTGCTACAGTGTAGCTCAGTGTATCTGCTGCTACAGTGTAGCTCAGTGTATCTGCTGGTACAACACAGCGTGGGCACGCAGCACGCGCATTACTGGAGTGCGCATCAATGAAGTAATCAATGGCCGGCGACGGTTGAAAGCGACTTCGATTTACCTTCAAATTTGCCTAGCATGAAATCGTGCACTTGATCTTCACCTGAACTTGCTGCTTCATTAGTGTGCCGAAATTATCTTTAAGATTTTATGCGCAAGGTGCGAAATAAAATGAAAGAGACTCGATGTACATAGATTACCCACAATGAAACTAAATGAATTAAAATTACAAATGGCCGATTTATTCAAGTGTTTCTTCCGTACGTAAGATCGTGCAACTGAGTGTTTCATTCATGCTTCTAGTGGGTGCGTATGAATGAATTCCGCACACGCGATAAACGACCGGCCACATCGATGCGCGGCAAGTCATTCATAAAATAAAATATTGAGCACCGGCACGCAATGAATAGAATAGAATAGAAATGTCGGCACTGAAGAAATAGGCCCATATGGCCTGTTGCCGATTCTTGAATTTTTCGTGACTTGATTCACAAGGGATCCGGCCTTTGGAACCCGATCTTTCCATAACTGACGATTGATTGAGATAGCTGCTGGACTTATTGCCTGGTCCGTAATTTGCTAGGCATTTTAAGTCTGAAAATATGCTCCTGCATAGCTTCGTCTAGTCTATTCTAGAAGGCGTTCATACTCGGAGCGTCAACGATGTCATTGGGGAGGCTGTTCCACATGTCGGTGACTCGAAGCGAGAAGAAATGTTGTCGTATGGATGTGTTACAACGCAGTTTTTTTAGTTTATAGCTGTGGCCCCTGGTGTTGGTTCTTGTTTCAAATTCTAGTAATCCTTCTGGGACCTTGTATAAGCCATGAGTATACTTGTAAGCTTCAATGAGTTCCCCACGCAGACGTCGATAACTGAGGCTTGGAAGCTTCATAATCTTTAATCTTTCCTCATAGGACTTGCCTTTCAAGCCCGGAACTATCCTTGTTGCGCGTCTTTGAACACTCTCTACTAAATTTTTGTCCTTTTCAAATTTCGGTGACTACACGACCTGTCTCTTATACACATCTAGATGTGTATAAGAGACAAGGTATGGTCTTTACGAATAGAATGATACGTGTCTTGATGTTGTAGGATGATATTTGTAGGAGGAGATAGATTTTCTAAAGTACCCGTTTTTAGCAGTTTTATATGAATTTCACGTTTTCTATCAATTTTAATTTAATTAATTTCCTCCCATACAGAACCGAAGCCCGGCCACCACTGGGTGGACGCCTATTATACCTTTAATTCCCGCTGGTTGGCGCTGGCTACAAATGACATATGTGACAGGACCCTGGGCCCCGGGACAGCCAGCTTTCATGGCGGGCGCTCATGCCATCATGAACAGCGACATGAACTTTATGCTAGCCAACCAGTGGGGCTCAGCCAAGTACAACTTCGTGTGCCAGATGCCCGCCAAGTGGTAACTCAAATTCTGGTTTTACTTCATCTGTTAATTGGCGTTTTAACGGAGCTTTGATAACGCATCCAATGGTCTTTTTCTTCCTTTATTGGTGTTTTAAAGGAGCTTTGAAAACGCATCCAATGGTCTACTTCTCTTCTTCTTTTAATTGGTGTTTTAAAGGAGCTTTGAAAACGCATCCAATGGTCTTATTCTTCTTTTAATTGGTGTTTTAAAGGAGCTTTGAAAACGCATCCAATGGTCTTCTTCTCTTCTTCTTTTAATTGGTGTTTAAAGGAGCTTTGAAAACTCATCCAATGGTCTTTTTCTTCCTTCAATTGGTGTTTTAATTGAGCTTTGAAAATGCATCCAATGGTGTTCTTCTCTATTCAATTGGTATTTTGAAGGTGCTTTGAAAACGCATCTAATGGTCTTCTTCTTCTTCTTTAAATTGGTGTTTCAAAGGAGCTTTGAAAACGCCTATAAGAGTCTTCTTTTTCTTTTGATTGGTGTTTAAAAGAAGATTTGAAAACGTTTCCAATGGTTTTCTTCTTTTAATTGGTGTTTTAAAGGAGCTACGAAAACGCATCCAATCTTCTTCTTCTTTTAATTGGTGTTTTAAAATAGCTTTGAAAACGCATCCAATGGTCTTCTTCTTCTTCTCTTAATTGGTGTTTTAAAGGAACTTTGAAAACGCATCCAATGGTCTTCTTCTTCTTTTAATTGGTGTTTTAAAAGAGCTTTCAAAACGCATCCAATCTTCATCTTCTTTTAATTGGTGTTTTACAATAGCTTTGAAAACGCATCCAATGGTCTTCTTCTTCTTTTAGTTGGTGTTTTAAAGGAGCTTTGAAAACCCATCCAGTGGTCTTCTCTTTCTTTTGATTGGTGTTTTAAAGGAGCTTTGAAAACGCCAGGGTTGGCAATGATTAAATCAAAATGATTAAATCATGTGATTAAATCACTTGATATTTTATAAAAAAATCATGATTTTTTTATTTTTTGCTGTTTTCATATATTTAAATATATTGAGTGGCAGTCTTTAATTTATATTGAGGTATTGTTAATCATGGTTTAGTATAAATGTACTATGAAAGACAAATTGGTATATAAACTTGTTGCCTTTAGTGTGTATTAGGTTCCAATAAATTGAATGTTTTTGGTACAGAGACATCAAGTATGCAATACATTGTACGTAGCTAGCAGCTTAGCTAATTCTTATAAGGCTATAAGTAGTCTTTAACTATTTGACTATTTGTTAAATATTAATTAAACTATACAATTTAAATGTGTTAGCTAGCTTATACAGGGTGGGGCAGAACTGATTGATCAGTTTTGAGGCAAAATAAAAGAGTAATGGAGCTACGTAAAGAAGAAAGTTTATTTTCCTCAAGATTAGCATAACATACCATTTAAAATACTTATGTTTTGGAGGAAGGAAGATGGGGGCCGTTAGCTGCAACACACTGTTGAGTCGTTCTCGGAAGTTTCCTACAGCACGTTCACACATATGGCAAGGTATGGCCATAACCTCTGCTGCAGTAATCCGTTCCCTTAGCTGTGGTAGTGTGTGAGGGCGACTTCTGAACGTAGGGTATGATGGCGACTCTTTTAGCTGTCCCCAAAGAAAGAAATCGCAAATGCTCAAATCAGGTGACCTTGCAGGCCACTGTAAATCACCCCTCAAGATCGTGACACCAGACGTCCGTGAAACATGCGTTTCAAAACATTGAGTGGCATTCAGGCTGTGTTAGCTGTAGCCCCATCCTGCTGGAACCACACGTCTCTGAATGCTTCATTTTCAACAATGTTTTCCATCATGGGCTGCAAGAAATTTTGCAACATTGCAGCATAGCGATCAGAATTCACTGTTACGGTTACTCCCTCTTCTGAGAACGACTCCAACAGTGTGTTGCAGCTAACAGCCCCCATCTTCCAGATATTGTTTTCAAAACATAAGTATTCTAAATGNATGAAGTAGATACGGGATGAAGTAGATACGGGATGAAGTAGATACGGGATGAAGTAGATACGGGATGAAGTAGATACGGGATGAAGTAGATACGGGATGAAGTAGATACGGGATGAAGTAGATACGGGATGAAGTAGATACGGGATGAAGTAGATACGGGATGAAGTAGATACGGGATGAAGTCTGTCTCTTATACACATCTTCTAAAAAACGCCATCTTAAAAAAATTATAACTCCAACAGTTTTCAAGCTACGGCAATGAGAGACATACCATTCGATTTGTAAAAACAATACCTAGCGACTCTAGAGACTTTTTTTTAATATGTGCATGGTTTGACTTATATATGGGAGGGGGAGGAAGGTAGGGGGGTAAAAATGTGAAATAATGGGAAAAACGCGAAAAAAACGATGAGGAAAATCAAAAATCGGGGCTCTACAGTCGCTAGATATTGTTGTTACAAATCGAATGATATGTGTCTCGACATTGTAGCATGTGATTTGCAAAAGTTATAAATTTTTTTAGAGTACCTCTTATATGCCGTTTTCTATTAATTCCACGTTTTCTTTCTTTTTTTTTAAATTTACATGAACAAAAAGGTCTTACATTGTGTTCTACATATGTGTACCAAGTTTCAAAACGATCCGTCTGTAAACAAAGAAGTTTTGTTGGAGGGTAGCCGGCCCCTTTAAGTAAAATATAAAGGCTTTATCTATAAATGTAGCGATAGCGCTGTAGCGGCAAAACCTCGTATCGCTACTTAAATATGTAGCAGGCGCTACCGCTACCGCTACATTGCCTTAAATGTAGAGCCGCTACCGCTACCGCTACTGAAAATGTAGCGCGCTACTGCCCACCTCTGGCTATCAGCTACCTATCCGTTATGTGACTCTTCAATGTTTAGAAGATCTGCATTCTTGAAGTGTTTTTGTATATTGAAGCCAGTTAAATGGTCAATATTTAGCTCATTACCTTGCTCCATACAAACTTTACAAAGCTAATGAATAGATTTATCAATAATTGTTTACCCAAAAATCCCTAAGTGGTAAGCACCACCTTGGCCTGTTGGCCATTATTGAAGGCAATAAGTGCCCTTTTTAGCCATCCATTATGATCCATATACTGTTATTGTTAGTAGGCTAATTCCAACATAAAAAATAACACTTCAAAAAGACAAAAAAAGCTGAAAAAATAAATAAAAAAAATCATGAAAAAAAAAACAAAAAAATAATTGATTTTTTGATTTTTTTTAAATCAAAAAAATCACCAACCCTGGAAAACGCATCCAATGGTCTTCTTTTAATTTGTGTTTTAAAGGAGCTCTCAAAACGCGTACATGTAGCCCAAAGACATGAAATAGTTTGGGGAGCAGCACAGCGGGATGTCGTTGGAACATTTAAAGGACCAGTGACCCTATGTCCGTCATCCCACCTTCGATGAATTATGAATTTGTTATCTGCCAGAGATATTTAAAGTACTAAAAATTAACTAAAGAATTTTCAGACTAATTTAAAATCTGGTAAACAATTAACTCAATTATAAATAAATACATATTTGTTCATTAATTTGAATGTCATTAATCTGCTTATTGGAAAGTACCATTGATTCTGATGTTACTTTAAAGTTTCTTTCCTAAATGAAAGACTGGGTTTTATTTAACCGTCAATATTCTTGTACGGTTGAGGACATAAAGGCTTGATTCCGAGATAATTTAACCGGTACCGAATTTATAGCCTAGTGAATGGGATGCAACGTGATTAATAAAGTTCTGATAACGATGAGTGGAAATTCGGTTGCATGATTAACCTGCAAAAATGATCTATTCGATAAATGAAAAAAATTAAAGTTAACTGAAAGCATCGTTTTTTAACTTTTCAACTTCGAACTTCTTGAATCGATAATGCAATGACAACGAAATGCAATATGTTACATGCTAATCTTGACATCAGGAATGAAACCAAGTTCTTTTTTTAAACGTAAACGGAAACAAAAATTCTACAACAGCATTTGAATTTATTACGCAATTATAACTAACTAAAAAATGAATAAATTGGGACGGAAGAACGCGACTCGAATCTGATGTAAATAGGCGTTCGAGCATTAATTCTGCACTATAAACTTTGCGTGAATGCATTAAGTTTGCTGGCTGCTCATTATATTTAACAATGATGGAGTGTAACTACAATGGATCTGTTCCTTACTTTCGAAAAGTTAAGAGATCGTAAGTTCAGCAGCCAATCATTGACGGCCTTTCAAGCAAAATCCACCAGTCATGGACAAGAAAATAGAGCGTATATATAAGTACTGACGTTCACTTAGCAAGTTTTCAAAGTATGGCCCCATAGTGCAATAATTTCACTGCACGCCATCCAAGAGAAATGTTTTCATGCCATATATTCTGAGCTAGAGTGCCTATGTTTACCTGTTATGTAGATCACTCAGGGTTTAGAGTGTACATAGAGTGTAGGTATAAACCCTAACCCTGTCAACGATTTAGGCTGTTAACCCTAACCCTGTCAACTGTTTAGGCTGTTAACCCTAACCCTGTCAACTATTTAGGTTGTTAACCGTAACCCTGTCATCTGTTTAGGCTGCTGACCCTAACCCTGTCAAATATTTAGGCCGTTAACCCTAACCCTGACAACTATTTAGACTGTTAACCCTAACCCTGTCAACAATTAAGACTGCTAACCCTAACCCAGTCAACTATTTAGACTGTTAACCTTAACCCTGTCAAGTATTTAGACTGTTAAACCTAACCCCGTAAACTATTTAGACTGTTAATCCTAACCCTGCCAACTATTTAGACTGTTAACCCTAACCCAGTCAACTATTTAGACTGTTAACCCTAACCCTGTCAACTGTTTAGACTGTTAACCCTAACCCTGTAAATTATTTAGACTGTTAACCCTAACCCTGCCAACTATTTAGACTGTTAACCCTAACCCAGTCAACTATTTAGACTGTTAACCCTAACCCTGTCAACTATTTAGACTGTTAACCCTAACCCTGTCAACAATTTAGACTATTAACCCTAACCCTGTCAACTGTTTAGACTGTTAACCCTAACCCTGTCCCCTATTTAGGCTGTTAACCCTAACTCTGTCAACTATGTAGGCTGTAAACGCTGAGCCTGCCAACTATTTAGACTAGTCACCCGACCTGAGGCTCGCCCAGAGCGACTGTCGCGCAAAGTTTGCGTTGCAGTACCGCACAAAACTTGATGCTTGTGGAAGTGCTTGCACTATTTAATATATTCCGCGCACATTAAGTAAGATAACTTGCAAGACAATTGGGTCTAACACGCATCAAAAAACACAGCTGTGGTAATGAATCAGCGAACGTAAAAGATCTTCGCTAAAAAGTATATCAGTAATGCCACGACTGAAAAACTTTTCGTTGAATTCGTCCACTCATTGAATACTGTTGCCTATTATTGTTGAATATTAGTCAATTACCGGATGCTTATAAGAAGATTCACCTATTATTTCAAGAAGTGCAACGTTGAATGTTTATCAAACAAGTATATCCGATCTTAAATACTTACCTTACCTGTACACTCGATCTTAAATTCTTATCTTACGTTTTCACGATATGAATAAATTGGTTGTGTGTATATTTCTTGTATTTATTTCATTGACGGAATCTTTCTTCAGGTGACATAGGCGATAGACTCAAGACAAGTTCCGAGCACCGTCTTATTTGTTATCTAATATAGGACGTTCAATCAATAATTTTAATCTTCCTCAAAGACAACTCCCGTACAGTCTAAATTCTACAAATTTCCCTGCAGGATAGTTTGGCAGACCTGATGTACAATAATAGCCCAAGAGTAGGAGAGTCTCCCACAAAATCACCCCATCATGATCTGGCAGGACGAAGTGTCGTGGTCAACGTGTTTGACGTACAGCATTACATTGCTTACGTCACTTACACATGACACTCAGAGACATGTGTGGGTCGTCCAAATGATGACTTATATTCTGCACGGAGCGCTGATAAGTCCATTTTTAGGCTAAACTTGGTGTGCATGACCCACACAAGGGCAAAATGTAGGTCGCTGTTTGGACATACTATCACTCATTTATCTGAATAGACCGACAAAACAATTAACAGAAGTAAACCATGACCATATATTAATATTTCCTTGAGTTACCTTCGCAATATATACAAATATTTCCTTGAGTAATACAATACTCAATATATACAAATATTTTCCCCCGCAACTCATTTTATACGAACGAAAGGAAATTACCAGTTGATCCTGAAAGGTGGGTAACTCAGCAGTTACCCACCAACCCGAACTTATTATTATCCATGTCAATTCATTCATCAGCATTAGCATGTACCAAGTGTGATTTAAAATATTTACATAACTGTAATTGCCTATGTGATGTGCACGGCCTTTAAATTATTATTGGACTCTTCGAGACAAGAGACATTACTTCGTCTGTAATGCTGGAAAATGATAATCAATTGTAAGACGTTAGCGCCCTCTGATTACTCGATTGTGACTGCAGTCGCCTGCGGTGCAGTGGTGAGAGACTCAATCTCTGACACCCAGCTCCCTGGTTCGAGTCCCACTGAGGACAAGTTCTTCCGGGAAGCTCAGCTCATGGTCAACTCAGCCATTCATCCAACTCTGGTTAAGAAATGAGTACCTGGCTTGTTCAGGGTGTTGTGTAATGCAATATAACGACTCTGGCGAGTCAGCGAGTCATTGATGGTCGTAGAACTAACAGTGGAGACAAGTGGGCCCAGAAAAACTGACCCATCACCCCCACCTCCCCTCCCTATAGTCGCCACAACCAGTATAGTCTATTACAACAACAACAACAACAACAACACTCGACTGTGATGCTTAATCATACCAACCAGTTCTAACGTACAAGTAAACGCTACGCATGATCTAGACCTTCAAGTCCCCAGACACGCTCGAACGTTAGGTGGGCAGCTCGCACCGATCGCTTGACGCGAGCTTCTATCAACGGATGCAAACAATACATGCAGATTGTGGAAAGAAATGGTCCTACTGAGAGTCAATAGTCCTACTGAGAGTCTATAGTCCTGCTGAGAGTCAATAGTCCTACTGAGAGTCAATAGTCCTACTGAGAGTCAATAGTCCTACTGAGAGTCAATAGTCCTACTGAGGGTCAATAGTCCTACTGAGAGTCAATAGTCCTACTGAGAGTCAATAGTCCTACTGAGAGTCAATAGTCCTACTGAGAGTCAATAGTCCTGCTTTAGTCCCCCCGTGGGCAATAGTCCCCCCGCCACCCCCCTTTTTGCAGAATAAAATCCAAACTATAACGAAATCAGAAAAACGCATACATCATTTTGTAGATCTATTCTTTCCGAATCGAATGGTATATGTCTCATTGATGTAGCTTCAAAACTCTAGGAGGAGATAGGTTTGCAGTGACAATAAGTTAACTTTTCAGTAGGGCCCGACAAAGTCGCGCGCGCCTCGAAAAAGACATTCAAGGGTGCAAGGTTGCAAGTCCAGATGATATTGGAGCTCAATTTCTGTAAAGGATGGTGCGAACGACGGCACGAGAACCATCCCATATGACTGCAGGTGGATAACTGAAGCAGTGTGTTCAGACTAGCTATTCAAGTGTGCTAATGGTAATTTCGGCCTATCTTAAATGTTAAAGAACTACACCACCCCTAACCCTTTCGCGATCTGTCTTGAACGCGTAAATAAACGTACAAAGATGGTTTTGGTACCGTTAGATGCGTCAAAATGTAAGCTTTAACATGAGTATAAAAACCGAAAATTTTCGATTTTAACCCTGACGCTCCCCTTAAGTAGATGAACTAACAAGATTGATCATCCATTTACATTTCTCATTTTTTTTTTTTTTAGCGGGAAACACACTCGAAACTTGCGTTCTCTCCATAGCATCATCCGTGTGGGCTGTCTGTAGAATATTCTTGCCAGTTTTTTAGAAAAGAAAGCCAATTCTGAGGGATGCCTTCTGCTCACGAAAATTAGTCATCAAAAAACGACGAGCGCGCAAAACTGGCAGAAAAAAAATGGGATGGAACAACAAGGCCTCCTAGGGCAGCGATGCTCGGCACACTAACTACGGAGTGTCAGTAACATTTGCACGTGCTGGGAAAAGGTGGTACTACCAAAACTACGCCCCCACACAGTCAGTCCGTTATTTTTTCGTGGTCCCGCTTTCGTACACGTTATTTAATATACACAATATACACGTCATCTATACACATAATACTCGTCATTTTTGTATATGATTTTTCTGAAAGTCACCACTGTAGCGAAAAATCTCATGAATGTAAATGTTTTTATCATTCGTTTCATAGACTTTAAAACTAATCATTTTAAAAATTTGTTCAATTTGAATGGCTTGGTTGAAAAGGAAGAAATACACTATTTTCAGATTATTACGATTTTACTGATGTCGTTTTATGTCCAGTCAGAACGTTAATTTATGCTATGATGCAGAGTATTTATTCGTCCACGCTGCACCAGCGCGAGCCTCGGGTTTACCGTTATATTGACTCGTATATATTGGCCTCATGAGTTATATTATTGTTCCCCCCTTGTGCAGAGTTATATATTGGCCTCATGAGGCGCAAGTTTGACGACAAGTTTGACGTCCCCCGTTGTGCAGAGTTATATATTGGCCTCATGAGGCGCAAGTTTGACGTCGCGTTCACTGGTCGCCCAGAGTTTAGCGGCGAGGCTGTCGTCGTTGGCCAGCCTGTAGGTCCGTAGCTCCTGGGATGTCGGGGCATCACAACAACTAATTTAAAATTTTAATAATTTTAAATAAAATATGTGTAAACACAAATAAAACAAATGCATGGTTTATATGTGAAGAACAAATTTAAATTTTTCAAATAAAATTGTGTAAAACACAAATTAGAAAATGCATGGTTTAGAAAAAATACATGATAATTGATTGACAGTGGAATTTGTCCTACCGACATTGATAGTGACATTACATATATCAGCTGATGAATGTGAACTACCTAACAAATAAGACTAAAGCCTTCATTATTTCACTGTTACCCTAACAAATATTAAGTTATAGTATGGCTTAGTTTACTGAGCAAAATGCAGTTCAGAAATGTACGGGAGAAATATGCTTATAAATAAATAGCTCATGATGGCTCGAATGGCTGCATGGTAGTACAGTGACAGTATATGCACAGTATTCACACTACAGTCATTGTACATGTACTGTAATCACCCTACACTCACTGTACATGTACTGTACTCACCCTACAGTCACTGTACATGCACTGTACTCACCCTATAGTCACTGTTCATGCAGTGTACTCACCCTACAGTCACTGTACATGTACTGTAATCACCCTAAAGTAACTGTACATGTACTGTACTCACCCTAAAGTAACTGCACATGTACTGTACTCACCCTACAGTCACTGTACATGTAATAGAGTCACCCTACAGTCACTGTACATGTACTGTGCTCACCCTACAGTCACTGTACATGTACTGTACTCACCCTACAGTCACTGTACATGTACTGTACTCGCCCCACAGTCACTGTACTTGTACTGTACTCACCCTACAGTCACTGTAAATCTACTGTACTCACCCTACAGTCACTGTACATGTACTGTACTCACCCTACAGTCACTGTACATGTATTGTACTCACCCTACAGTAACAGTACATGTACTGTACTCACCCTACAGTCACTGTACATGTACTGTACTCACCCTACAGTCACTGTACATGTACTTTACTCGCCCTACAGTCACTGTACATGTACTATACTTACCATCCAGTCACTTTACATGTACTGTACTCACCCTACAATCATTGTACATGCACTGTACTCACACTACAGTCACTGTACATGTACTGTACTCATCCTAAAGTAACTGTACATGTACTGTACTCACCCTACTGTCACTATACATGTACTGTACTCACCCTACAGTAACTGTACATGTACTGTACTCATCCTACAGTCACTGTACATGTACTGTACTCACCCTACAGTCACTGTACATGTACTGCACTCACCCTACAGTTACTGTACATGTACTGTACTCACCCTACAGTCACTGTAGTAACGGCCGCTCTGGTGTGCTACTGCATCGTCTACTGCACAGTAGATGTTGGTCTGTGCGCCCAGCTCAGCACTCTGGTAGACAAATACACTCTCATCTACTTAGTATATATAGCTTCATCTACTTCGAATATACCCTCATCTACTTAGTATATAGCCTTATCTACTTCTAAACCCTCATCTACTCGTAGAATATCGCATCGTTGGCCTGAATAAAATAAGAGTATGTCACGTAAATTCATGCAAATTAAATAAAGTAAGTAAAGGCTCACGAAAAAGCAGCTCCTAATAGCAGGAATTGCCCGCAAAACTGTCGTACTGACACGATTGTAAACTTGATAAATGATAAACAATTTTTTTGGAAATTTTGAAATAAATTTCTAGCTTGGCGTTTCACAAAACTCTGGTGCAGAGGGAATGCCAAGGTTATTTTACTTCAGGATATTTTGATGACAAATCAAGTGCAGCGATTGTTTCTAATAAACATCTAGTACCAAGTAAATAATAGTTATTAGGTAACAAGAACTAGTCAGGTTAACCATGATAGTTAATTAAATAAGTCCATTACACCTTTAATTATTTTTCGTTGCTTCTAAAATATCAACAAATAATGTATTTTGTAAATATTTTATTGCAAAGTCAAAGTAGATGCTGGTGCTATTCTATAGAAAATCTAGTTTTATTCAGGAACATGAAGAATTATTCAATTATAACACAGTCATGTGCATTAAAAACAGATTCTTACTTGATCATGTCATAATTTATTCATTCGAGTAAGATAACAAGTAACGTAATTAAAATTTCCCGATTATAGAGTTAGGCTAAAGAAACACACTTAGATAGTAAATCTGTGATGGTGATACTTGGCTGTGAGAAAAATAAAAATGTTTATCTGAACTCGAAATATGGCCGACAGAAGATTCTACATTAGTTTCTTTGAATATGTCTGTAAAATATATCTTGGTATACATCAATACAGGCTCGTCATGTATACGACTGTATGAGTAAAACTTCCATTCCTCTAAACAGGTGTGTACTCACATAACTCATACGTGTACGTGTACACATACATACGTATAAACACACACGCACGTACGTACAAGCGTACACGTTGCAGTGTACTCACCTTACCCATGAAGCACATGAAGTTAGCAAACCAGTCTGCCACCATCACCGAGTTCTTGTGGAATATTTCGGTGGCCACGAAGCCGGGGTGTACGGAGTACGTAGTTACACCTGTACACATGTACGGAGTACGTAGTTACACCTGTACACATGTACGGAGTACGTAGTTACACGTGTACACATGTTCGGAGTTGTCCGACAGTACAACAAGTTCTAATGTGTTTACCAACAGACCTAGTTAGCTATTAGGTCCACGGTGTCACTGAGACCTTGCCATACAGCATATGTGTCACAGAGACACGTGATCGATCACGCGATCAAGACCTTAGCGAAGCTTATAAAAGGCTTAGTAAACTTAAGCAATCCCCCCAGTAGCTGATGAGCACTCAGCGATGTAGCGTGTAGCTTGAGTTCTCCGACCTTACGGTCGATGCCGTAGCTTATTCCTCTGTATCGCAACTCTGTATTACCAAGATACGTTATCTGTATCTGTATACAAGATACGTTATCTGGACTGATGTGTCTTACTTATCCCTCACTACCTTAGTCAACGAAACCCGATCCTCAGGTAGAGCTTAATATGATGAGTTCAACGTCTTGAGCGCAACCTCGGACAGAGTACGTTGTTACATCTGTACGCTCGTACTTCTGTGTTTAATTACTACTTCTGTTGGTACTTCATGTAGAATAGCGGCAAAGTGTATATAAAATAGCATAATTATAGTATAATACATATTATTAACACATATAAATTATTAATAATACTGAACATGCTTTTTCACTGCACGTTAGGTGATTGAATGTACAATTTCGAACGTTCATATTACCATTTGATAAGTTCAACAAATTACTATCGATATCAATTTAGACAAACTCTTCGCTACAAGTAAAATAAAAAGACAACTTCCTGACATTTCAACATGATTATACTTATTATAAGTTTTTTCGCATAAATCTAATTTCTACAAAAAATTTGCGCTGAATAAAAAATTTTGCGGAACTTTAGAACGAAAACGACTCATTTTATTTACCAGTCCCCTGCAGTTCTCTCCCCAGTCCCCTGCAGTTCTCTCACCAGTCCCCTGCAGTTCTCTCCCCAGTCCCCTGCAGTTCTCTCACCAGTCCCCTGCAGTTCTCTCACCAGTCCCCTCCAGTTCTCTCACCAGCCCCCTGCAGTTCTCTCACCAGTCCCCTCCAGTCTTCTCGCCAGTTCTCGAGTCATGAGGATGTTGGCCAGTTTGCTGAGGCTGTAAGCTCTGTAGTCGCCGTATGGAATGTTTCTGAAGTTCAAGTCCTCAACATCCATTTTTCCAGTCCAGAAGTAAGCAAGGGAAGCCACGCACACCACTCTACTTGGAGCTCCGTTCTTCAGTAGCTTGCCTGGGTTCGTGTTAATCAAATTAAATTAATGAGGATAAAGTTTACACATTAATATCTGAACAGGCAGTGTTGAACGCGGTCATCCTTACGTCTGTTGAACTTATGTATTAAAGCAAGACATCACCTGTGCCAGCATTACGAGTTGTGATCCGATCGTCGATCAGCATTATAATGATAAATAAATTATTGATTTCAGAAATGAATTATGTTATTGTCTAAAATTTCTCGAATTGGTTCTTATACTATGTAATTTGTATTGATAAACAAAAAATGATCAATAATCAAAACGAAACCGCGTCTCCCTTTATTGTCCTGTGAGAACATGAAGGGTTTACATGAACATTCTTTACAAGCAACTTAAACTTTCTTCTTTTACAAGCAACTTATATTCCGTGACCTGGTTAATCCTATCCCATGATATGATGTGAAAATACATGATAGTTGGAAATTAAATCCATTGTTATCGAAAATTACTTCTAGCTGCAGCAGGAGGTAAAGGCAATACAGAATCGTTGACCACCGAGCTCTAGTAGAGGCATATTGAAGGCAGGTAGAGGCATATTGAAGGCAGGTAGAGGCATATTGAAGGCAGGTAGAGGCATATTGAAGGCAGGTAGAGGCATACCTAAAACAAATTCTGTACCTAATAGTTCATTTCGGCTCAGCTTATTCATGTTTATCATGTTTCATGGGGTTATCTTTATATTCTAATAGAATTTCCAGTTATTAAGTATTACGCCAAAACAAACCAGATTCTGCTTGTCATTATTTCACTTTAAAACATTTCTCAGAATAATTGTCAGTGACTGGCTCAGCTCCTTGATATAAGAGACTGGCCAGAAAACCGGTAATATATCTTATCGAAACCTGTTCTGTCATGAACGAGGAAGTGCATGTTTTTTAGCGCATTTTCTCATTTATGGAAAAAGGCGCTATTTTGGTCGCCATGTCCGTCTGTCTGTCCGTCCGTCCGTCCGTGACTTCACGTTTTCGTCGACGAGAAAATGCGCCCTCTGTCACTCACTGCAGTGAGTACTGAGTTACATTTCTGGTTTTTCCAAACTGGTTTGGTAATAGACCGCTAGTGGTAGTCTCCTACCTAGCATGTTGGTGAGTAAGAAGTGACCGTAGTGGTTGGATGCCATGGTTAACTCGAATCCATCTTCACTCATTTGCTTCTGCACAGATCCACCAATTCCGGCGTTGTTTACCTGCAATCAATTGTGCATGTAAATGAAAAATTTTAATATGGAAAATTTTTATATTAATTGTTGAACAATTGTAAGCATCGCCTAGTGCTATATTAGATCATATAAAAAATTAGTTAATCAACTTGTTTATTTCTCTATTATAAATCGTTTTTTCATCTCGATATCGCTAATTCTCATCATGAATAAATTAGACGTCTCTCGGTAATTTTCTTATACAAGCAAGAGATTATGCGAACTAAACGATAATCTTCTAGTAATGATTCTTTCAGCCGTTTACATCATTAATTTCATGTAATTTATTCTAAAATTTACAACTAGTATTTCTAAAGCGTATCTAAACGTTTAAATCGCCTCAGTCCTTGTTAAATACTCTAAGCACATGTTTTCATTCCTACGAATAATTTTATACACTGAAGGCATTCAGAAATGTTTTCTTCCTAGACTACGTTTCTTATGAAGGTAGCGAGTGCAGCGGCGACTTTAACATCATAAAGTAGTTACAGGCTTACCAAGATGTGCAAGGCAGTCCCATTAAAGGCAATAACTTACCAAGATGTGCAAGGCAGTCTCATTAAAGGCAATAACAGACTTACCAAGATGTGCAAGGCAGTCTCGGTCTGTAGGATGTCGTTGCAGAACGCACGAACGGAAGCCAGTGACGCCAGATCAAGTTTTTTCACAGTTACCGCTTCATTTCCAGACATTCTCTTTATATTGTCTGCAACAAAATGAATAATATTAGTTATTAATATGTTAATAATATTATATATGTGTATTGAATTATTTCCAAAATTTCAATGTATGCAAATTTCTGACAATTTTCGTGAGTTTGATGATATTTTTCAGGTATGTAACACGATTAAGGCCGCGCAGCCTGACAATGAAAATAAACATTTAATATAATGTTGATGAAAGTTTTATTCAATATGGGAAGTAAGTATATAAAAATTTTCCAATATGTAAAAAATATTCACCGGCGACTCGTTGGGCTTTCTCCAAATTTCTGCAGGCCATGATGACGCGCGCCCCTCTCCTGGCGAAGTCCAAACATGTCTCTGCTCCTATGCCTGTAATATAGCAACATGTTAAACAAAGCATGTTGGTGAGTAAGAAGTGACCGTAGTGGTTGGATGCCATGGTTAACTCGAATCCATCTTCACTCATTTGCTTCTGCACAGATCCACCAATACCAGCGTTGTTTACCTGCAAGCAATTGTGCATGTACATGTATAATTTTAATTTATAAATTTTATTATTAATATTAATTGCTGAACGATTTTAAACTTATGTAAAATTTTAATTTAGAAATGTTATTATTAATATTAACTGCTGAACGATTTTAAATTTAGTCTAGTCCTAAATTAAAGCTACAGCGAATGATAAGGTAATCAATTTGTTTATTCATTTTATACTTCTTTATTATTAATCGTTATTTATCTCGACATCGCAAATTCTCTTCACGAATAAATCAAACGTTTCTAGGTTATTTTCTTATTTAAGCAAAAGATGATGTGAGCTAAACAATAATCATTCTTAATAATGATTATTGGTGATTCTTAATAATGATTATTGATGATGATTCTTAATAATGATTATTTAGATGATGTGAGCTAAACAATAATCATTATTTAACATCATTAATTTCATGTGCTTTATTATAAAATTTACAACTAGTGTTTCTCTAGCGTATCGAAACGTTTTCATCGCCTCAGTCCTAATTAAGTCCTTTACGCACATGTTTTCATTCCTTCGTCTAATTTTAGACACTGAAGGTATTCAGAAAAATTTTCCCTCCTTGCCTACGTTTATTATAAAATAGGCCAGTGCATCGGCGACTTTAGCATCATTAAAGGCAATAACAGGCTTACCAAGATGCGCAAGGCAGTCTCATTAAAGGCAATAACAGGCTTACCAAGATGTGCAAATCTACTTAGTATATACCCTCATCTACTTAGTGTATAGCCTCATCTACTTAGTATATACCCTCATCTACTTAGTATATAGCCTCATCTACTTAGTATATAGCCTCATCTACTTAGTATATAGCCTCATCTACTTAGTGTATAGCCTCATCTACTTAGTATATACCCTCATCTACTCGTAGAGTATCGCATCGTGGGATTGAATAAAATAAGTGAATGACAATTAAATTCATACAAATTAAATAAAGTAATATATTGGCTCACGAAAAAGCTGCTCCTAATAGCAGGAATGGTTCGCAAAACTGTCGTACTGACACGACTTGATAAATTTTAACTTGATAAACAACACACAAAATGTTTTTGTCCTTAACACAACTTGATAAATGTTAACAAAATTGGTCAAAATGTTTGAATACATTTTCAATTTGGCATTTCACAAAACTCTGGTGCGTAGGGAATGCTTAGGCCATTTTACTTATGCATATTTCGATGACAAATCAAGTTCCCCTCTAATAAACATCTAATACCTAGTAAATATTAGGTGTTAGGTAACCAGAACTAGTCAGATTAACCATGATAGTTAACTAAGGAAGTCCATTACGCCTATTATTACTTTCCGTTGCTGCTAAACTATTAACAATTAATCTATTTTTAAAATATTTTATTGTGAAATTCGAAGTAGATGAAAGAAAATCTAGTTTTATTCTGGAACATGCAGAATTATTCAATAATATCATAGTCATGTGCACTAAAAACCGATGCTTACTTTCATTATGTCATAATTTATTTATTCCAGTAAGATAACAATAATTTTAATTAGATTTTGCTGCTTATAGAGTTAAGCTAAAGAAACACACTTACATATTAAATTTATTATAGTAATACATGGCTGTGAGAAAAATAAAAATGTTTGCAGAAGACCAATGCAAAAGATTCTGCATTGGTTCGTTTGAATATGTCTATAAAATATGTATTGTATGCATTCATACAGGCTCGTAATGTATACGACTGTATGAATAAATACTGTCATTCATCTAAATATGAGAACTCATACAACTCTTAGTATGTGAGTACTCACACAACTCTTAGTATGTGAGTACTCACACTGTCTCTTATACACATCTAGATGTGTATAAGAGACAGGTACCGGACCCCAGCGACGGGGTCTGATCGGCCAGTGGCCCGCTCCCGGTCCTTGATAAACTGTTAAAAAAATATAACTCAGTACTCACTGCAATAAGTGACAGAGTGCGCATTTTCTCGTCGACGAAAACGTGAAGTCACGGACGGACGGATGGACAGACAGACGGACGGACATGATGAGCACAATAGGGCATTTTTTCCATAAATGAGAAAAACCGCTAAAAAACCAAATGGCCGCCTCATAATCAAAACTTGTCTAGTTGCATGTATATAGCGGCCTATATTCACGTGTAGAGGCCAATGCACAAGTAGTGGCTTGAATACACGTTTAGCCAAGTGCCTAATAGACGATAGGTTATTAACCCAAAACATTTGTAATGGTATTTATATAATAGAGGCAGCTTCGGTGTGGTTGTAGATAACAGCGACTGTNCTCTTAGTATGTGAGTACTCACACAGCTCTTAGTATGTGAGTACTCACACAGCTCTTAGTATGTGAGTACTCACACAGCTCTTAGTATGTGAGTGCTCACACAACTCTTAGTATGTGAGTACTCACACAACTCTTAGTATGTGAGTAAACACATGTACGAATATGTGAGTACGTTCTGTATGAGTTCACACAGAACGAATACGTGGAAGTGAGTTTATATGTACACGTATGTATGTATGTACACGTATGTATATGTATACGTACACGTATATACGTACTTTAATGCAGGTTTCATTGAAGACCAGAGAGTATTTCTTATTAACAATTTTCTTTTTGTGAAAACAATAAGAAAATTGTCAATAAGAAATACTCTCTGGTCTTCACTGAAACCTGCATTAAAGAACAGCTTCTGCCAAACTACACAAATGTATATACGTACATGTATACATGCACATTTATATACGAGAGAACACATATTACTCTTGTAACATGTACTCCTGTACTCACTTTACTCTTGTAACATGTACTCCTGTACTCACTTTACTCTTGTAACATGTACTCCTGTACTCACTTTACTCTTGTAACATGTACTCCTGTACTCACTTTACTCATGTAACATGTACTCCTGTACTCACTTTACTCATGTAACATGTACTCC